GCCAACTCTAAACTGATGGCCCGGGCTTTTATATATATATATATATATCGATCGATCGATCGATATAGATATTATTAGTGCATTTAGAAAGTATTCAAACCCCCTTCACTTTTTGCAATGTTATGTTGCAGCCTGATACTACAGTTGTTTAAATTCTTTTTTTTTCCCTCATTCATTTACACTCAGTACTTCATAATGACAAAGTGAAAGGAGAATTTTAGAAATGTCTGTGAATTTATTAAAAAGAAAAAAAATGAAATATGACATGTACTTAAATATTCAGATCGTTTCCTCTGTTCTTTGTTGAAGCACCTTTGGCAGCAATTACAGCCTCGAGTCTTTTTGGGTATGATGCAACAAGCTTCGCACACCTGGATTGGGGGATTTTCTGCCGTTCTTCTTTGAAAATCCTCTCAAGCCCAGTCAGGTTGGATGGGGACCGTTGGTGGAGAGCCATTTTCTGGTCTCTCTAGAGACATTAATAGGGTTCAAGTCAGGGCTCTGGCTAGGATTTTCATAGAGTTGTCCCTAAACCACTTCTGTGTTGTCTTGGCTATGTACGTAGGATCGTTGTCATGTTGAAAGGTGAACCTTCCGCCCAGTCTGATGACCTGAGTGCTGTGGAACAGGTTTTCATTGAGGCTATCCCTGTACTTTGCTCCATTCAGCTTTCCCTCAACCCTGACCACTCTCCCAGTCCCTGCTTCTGAAAAACACAGCCACAGCATGCTGCGGCCACCACCATGCTTCACTATTGGGATGGTATTGGGCAGGTGATGAGCGGTGCCTGGTTTCCTCCAGACATAACGTTTAGAATTGAGGCCAAACAGTTCAATCATGGATTCGTCAGACTAGAGAATCTTGTTCCTCACAGTCAGAGTCTTGCTAGGCACTCTGCCATTAAGGCCAAATCGGTGGAGGGCTACAGTGATAGTTGTCCTTCTGGAACTTTGTCCCATCTCTACACAGGATCTCTGGACCTCAGTCAGTGACCATTGGGTTCCTGGTCACTCCACTTACTAAGGCCCTTCTTCCCCCGATTGCTCAGTTTGGCCGACTGAGCAGTTCTTGGAAGAGTCCAGGTTGTGCCAAACTTCTTCCATTTGAGAATTATGGAGGCCACTGTGCTCTTGAGAACCTTCAGTGCATCAGAATTTTTTTTTGTAGCTTTCCTCAGATCTCTGCCTTGCAATAATCCTGTCTCTGAGCTCTGCAGGCAGTTCCTTTAGGTGGCCATACACTTTACAACCCTCGCAAGACTTTGTCTTTCGAGGGTTGTTAAAGTAATTTAAAAAAGAACGATCTGCCCATCTTGGACCGGTTGTTCGACGGAAGACGCCTTCCATACACTTTGCGATTATCGTACGATCGTGGGATTTCCCGCGATTCTCCTACGATAATCGTACAGTGTAGTGATTTTAACATTGCTTAAAGTGAAACAATGAAAAATTCCTTTAAATATCGTGCCTGGGGGGTCCCCTTAAACTGCCTGTAAAGTGGCGCATCTGTACGATGTACAGAACCTGCTGCAGCAAAATTACATTTATAAAGAAAAAAAAAAAGTGTGCGGTTCCCCTCCCCAAACAATACCAGACCCTTTAGGTCTAGTAGGAAAGTTAGGAGGGACCCCATTTAAAAAAAAAAGCGTGGGGTTCCCCCCCAAAAGTCATACCAGACCCTTTAGGTTTGGTAGGAATTTTAGGAGAAACACCTCCTAAAAAAACATGGGGTTCCCCCTAAAATTTCCAACTAGACCCTTGATCCAAGCACAGGCCTGACAGGGCAGAAAAGGGGGGCGAGCGAACGCCCCCCGCCTCCCTGGCCATACCAAGCCATTTGCCCTCGGCACTGGGAGGGTGCTTTTTCCAGGGTCGCCCTGGAAAAGCACCATGACCCGTGCGGATAGGGACAAGGGCCTCTTCCCTACAAACCCAGGGGCATCCAGATGCAGCCCCCCTTGTGAATAAATAAGGGGTGTTTGTACCCCTAACCATTCACTAAAGGCTTAGAATTAATTGTAAATAAAAACACCAAACTTTTGAAGAAATCCTTTAATTGAAGAAAAAAAGACGTTTTTGACAAGTCTTTTATTTAAAAAAAAAAAAAAAACCAAAAATGGACGTCCACAACGACGACGCGACGAAATAAAAAAATAAATGCAAATAATTATTTAAAAAAAACAAAACACTCAGCTTTCTTTGTTTTACTTTGTGCTCTTAAGGGCTTCATTGTGCATATTTTATTTTCTTCTGACGTATTCATCAATTACTTTGCCCTTTGGCATATTCTAGTAATAGTTCCTGCTCGGGTCTGGTTTCAAGAGCGTTAATAAGAGCACTGTATAACTGGAAGGGTGCATAGCAGTAAAGCCACCACATGGTTATCTTTAATTTCCTCTCCAATTGCACGCAGTTGTTCTACAATTTGCAGCATGGTGTTCACGCATTTCCTGGCCTTTTTCTAGCCTCATCCTACATAGCTTGCGTAACAGATATTGTTTACTGTTTAGGTTTCAACACATGCAGTTTTTGTAATGCAGTCCACATACCTTTAGCGGTATTCTCTTTTCTTATGTGGATGAGCTGGTTCTCTTATAATTGCTTTTGTTTGCCTGTTCTTCTTATCCCATTCATCTGTGGGTCCATTAGTGGCTCTGTCTGTACTTGCCACAAGTCATCTTTGCTTAGCAGCATTTCAAGCTTGAACTTCCTTAGCTGGGAAATGCTATTGTTAAGCTTTGCAATTGCAAACTTCACATCTGAACAGCTTGCCATTTTTCAGTAGCTTGGATGCGGCTCTGGTTGACTTACAGTATTCTGTTTAGTGCCTGGGCCCATAACCTGTTATGTGTTCAGATGGAGCACTGAGATCTTGAGGAATGCTGAATTAAGTTTTACTTGCTTAGAAGAACGTTGCATGCGTGTATATGGGAAGTTTTTCTATAGTCATGTTTCTTTTACAATTCTGTATTCCTATATACACACACATGTAACGTTCTTTTAAGCAAGTAAACCTTAATTCAGCATTCCTCAAGATCTCAGTACTTCATCTAAACACATAATCAATAATAACCACAATGTAGAGCCAGCATGTGAACACTGGGAGTTATACTGCTATCTTTATATCCTCTGAAATTAGCCTTTGGTAGAAAGCAAAATCTGGTATACTTTATTTTCTCATTATCGTTGCTGTTTCCATTTCAATAATTTTATTAAAGTTTTCAAAATCATTGTACAGAGCATAACTCGATAACAATGACAACAAATGTGGTTGAAGAGCAACATACAGAATTGAAGTAAATAAACATATAAGATATGTAAGGTGCAGTATGGTTAGGTCATGCTGGAACAAGCGCTATGAGCTTCATCTTAGTAGCAGGTCGTAAAAAGAAACGGGGCACTCCAGGTCCTAAAGTCCAGCCACTCTTATGAATATGGAAGAAACATAGAAATAGAAGAACAGAAGAGTAAAAAGGGAAGAGGTGAAGAGGGGGGAGAATAAAATTTATAGAAGAGCAGAAGAAAAATGAAGTAGAAGAATGGGGCAGAGCAGCAGTCCCGGGAAGGAGCAAGCATGTTGTCACAAAAGCATCATTGCTCTTTCTAATGCCTAAAACTTGTATTTGTCACTATACAGACATAGACAAAGTGATAACAGCTGTCATGGGCCTCGTTTATCAAAGGATACTGGATATTAGGAACTGTCTTCTTGCCAACAGAAGCCAGTTCATTTCAAACATTGATTCTAAATCTGTATTTTTCCACTGGTATGTTGCATCTGGTTGGTTGCTGTTGGGCAATTTAAGCAATTCTTATTAAAGGTAGACTCAAGAACAGTGTCAATGTGTTGCTACTGTAAATAAGAAAATATCGCAAGGGTTTTAAGTGCCTCCAGTAGCAGGCCTGGATCTAGGGAGACAGCAGACTACCCCTAATGTCATCATCTTTATTACCATGCCTTATGTAGGTTTTGAAGGAGAAATCTATTAGAAAAACATTTCACAATAAAAAGAATACAGTTGTATTTAACAAATGTATGAAACTGTTACAGAAATCTGTTCCTGGCCAGATTTACCAGTGGTCACTAGATTGTCACTGAGTATGCACTTCTGGGATTATCCGAGAGACGTTGTGTCTGGAAACTCCTAAACCTAAGCCCACTGAAGGGTAAAACGGCTTGTGATGCTCATGGCTGCAAGTCCTTAACCAGTCATTCCTATGTGTACTAGTGTTAAGAGATTAATTGGGCATGTTTTGCAATGCAATGTATCTTCTCTTCCTCCTCCTCCACCTCCTCCTCCATTCTGTCTGCTGTCAGGAATAATGAGCACAATAAATCTCTGAATCCCCAGCTCCTTGGTCAGAATGAACAAGTAAAGGTACATCATAAGAAAGTGATTAGCCAACTGTTACAAGCCACAGCTGGGGGGCATATGAGGCACGCTAAATGCCCTTTTACTAGTGATAAGTGTAGGAAAAACAGCTATAAGTTTGCGCTGAAGTAAAATTCCATGGTACCAAAAAGATTGTGTTTTCTTCACTGAATGCAGAAGCTGCTATGGGTAATACCTCCCATGTACGTTCCTCTATATTACGTATAGTAGCTCCAATGTTTGATAGGAGTTCTTATTACATTTAATAAGTGTTGCTGGATAAATAAATAGTCTCACTGTGTATGGAATAGAAATGATTGGAGCAGAGAACCTGCTGAGATCAATGTCACACCTGTTATGTCAGCCACCTTGGGTGGGATAACTTGGCACTATGTAGCACCATCTGTGAGGAGTAATGCTGAGCTTGCCTTGCATGCTCTTAATTATTGGATGTATGCATCTTCAGAAATAAATCATTGAATCCTCTTGTGTACAACCTGCTAAATGTGTAGGCAGCACCTATTGACACTCACTTTTGTTTTCCTAAGGTTGAAGCGGCAAGTCAGTAGATAATGAGTGATAACATCTAATGACAGAGAATAACAGCATTCCTTCTCTTCCAATGCAGGATCGGCGAGCCAGAAGAGTGCGCTGGAATAGTGTCTTTCCTCTGCTCTCCTGAAGCCTCATATATAACCGGAGAGACAGTTGTGGTTGCGGGAGGAGGGCACTCTCGTCTATGAAAAAATTCATTTATCGTTGTGTTGCTTGCACTATTCAGCGCGTCGCGTCCAAACAATAAATATTGTAATTTGCTACATGTCCATTTTTATCATGTAGTTGGACTCTTAGTAATTGCATTGTGAAAATAATTTTCTGAAAATATGGTGTCAGAGTAGCACTGATGGAATTAAAGAAAAACATCAATAGGCCATGTTCAGCCTGCATGTGATTAAGCGACAAGCTGATTTATGTCACCAGACTTTACTTACAGAATGTCAATTATGGCTGATTAATGTATACTGCTGCCCACCCACATCCTACTAATGCTGTCACTGTTGGCCTTTGTTAATTTACAGAAGACACACCTCAGAGGTATGAAATATATTTTCTTATTAATAAAACCTTTATTAAGAAAATTGTTTAGAGTGTTTGTTTTTTTTTCCATATGAAGGTTTAGCGGAAAAAATATTTTGAGCTTAGCTGCTACCAAGAAAAGGGAACATGGCTTAGGCTTGTCCTAGCTGGCACCTTTTAAACCAGCTGGGTTTGGTGAAACCAGAACAAAAGATGGAGGTTCAAAGTAAAGTAGGGCACTGCTTCCAGTGCAATAATGCGCTCTATCCTCGGGGGCCCCTGGGTACAGACATATCAAGGAAGCACCAGGAAAAAGGTAGTGTTTGTCCTACTTTTCTTCACCCTTTCTCTAATATTTGTCTCAGCCCGACAACCATTGGGACAGTTTGCATTTACGCTGCAGAGACGGAATGTTTCTTTTTTACATTATACTGTTACCGGTGTTATCCATTATAGAAATGACAGGCCACCGTCACTATTCTCTACACATTGAAAATAGTGTCTGTTAGATACCATTCAGATCCCTTGTGATGTCCTTATCCTAATGTGAGTTGTCTCTTAAATAGGCTGGTCATTTGTCATCTTTACGTGCCATCAGCAAACTCTGCTCAAAAGCTGCTGCCTATGTCTAAACTTCTGTTATACGGTTTAGATCTGCAGAATTGCAGTTTGCTCCTTGCTGGGTTTAGGACACAACTGTTTAGATTTTTGGTGATTATTATTGTAAACATTCCAAACTCTGTCTAGAACTAAATAAAAATGTCTTGGCTTTAGATATACTTTTAAGCAGAATGTCAGCCAAAAATAATAGCCAAATGACAAATATCAAAAAGCAGCTTTTGCTGCAGTGCGCACTTTAAATTTGGCCACAGTACATCTTTTCTGTAACTAGATGTCCTCAGTTTTCCAGATTGAATGACAGTCAGCATCATTGGCTCTCCTTCCTGGGTCCGGGCTGTTGTAGAGCAGTCCCCAGCCTGTGATTGGACAGTTAATAGAAAGAAGCACAGTGATGAGCTCATCTTGCTGGCTATTTATGCTTCTTCCATTGCTGCTCTGCTGTACAGTGATTGGTAGTGGCTTATTCAGGTGCTTACACTGCTCGCATTTATTAATATACATTTAATGAGGTATTAATGTGTGTCTTATATCTTTCTGGAGTTCGGGTGCCATTACATAGTTCTATAAAGTATAATAAGCATAATAAACAATTGCATATTTTTTACATAATAAAATACTTGTTCCCTTTTTTTGATGCTTTGCTAGTGTTGATGATCTCCTTCAGCTGCTTTGCAGCTACTTTCTGAGTGCTACTTTCTATGCACCTGCTCCAGCAATGGCTGCATGCATGCATTTCTCAGGGCAGGTTGCATGATAGTGACAACAGTGCATAATACCTGTGTAATGTGTGCTGAAATCGTCACTTGCAGTCTCCATAGGGAGGCCATGTGACAGGGCGGCAATACAGAAGCACAACTGGGAGACTGGGACAGGGCATTGTCACTCTGTATAGGAACTGCCTGAACCTTGATGGAAGGATACTTGGGTATTATTTTAATTGCTACAGATTTTAAAATATGAAAATTATATTTTTTTCCACAGACTATTTATTGAGTGAAAACACAGAAAAAACATCAGTGTCAATGTATAAAAGAGAGAAAAGGCACTTCATATGTAACATACAGAATCTAAGTTATGGCAGAAAATAAAACATTTGAAAGTGACCAGTTATAGCAATTATCAAACTAGTAATAACATCAATTTGGGTAATTGAGAATAATGTAGATGTGGAGTCACGTCATTGATAAGTGTCAGGATAAATTAGTCCACTTGGGTGGCCAATCGCATGGGAGCCAGCGAGAGGCCTCCAAGAAAACACATAAAAAGAAGTAATAGGACGAAGGAATAAGGAGGAGCAGTTAAAATGATATTTTAAATAGCATTGAAGTGATCCTGATGCCTCCCCGACAAAACGAAACTGTATGCACTCTGTAAAAGAAGCAGATAAGTAATCCCCTCTCCAGCCAGTGGAAAGGAAAATCTTCATTTTCTTCAACAGCTTGCCCACCAGTCCCTGTATCACATCTCTACCCTGCAGTGGTAGAGACGGGAGGAACCACAGAAGCCAGAGTAATCCAGAAGTGTTGGATATTGGTGGCACCCAGATTTCTTAAACTTCTAGGTTTCTAGCCAAAAGTAAGGACCCTAATCTTCTGAACAGGCAAGATGTGTTTGTGCAACACTACCGACTCTACAGCACAGCCACTGATCAGATGCAATATTTAGTCACAGAAGAAAAGCTGTTTTGCAGGGTAGGTCTGTTCAGTAGATAAGGAACTTTCTTCTGTGTAGAAGCCAGGGAAGGACAGGGCATCAGCAGATCTGGTAAGGGATCATCTGCAGATTTCCATAAGTGCTGCAGTTAAAAAGTTTTTTTATTTTATTTATTAAATAAGGCTACAACCCTCCACCTACACAATAATGCTGTCTACGATGACAATCATTGTATCATCTATAATAGAAGTCACCAGCACTCGATATGTGCAAGAAAGCACTTTTTATCAAATTGTCACATGCTTCATACAGCCAACGTTTCGGGGACACGCAGGGTCCCTTCTTCTTTACTTCTTGCACATATCATCGAGTGCTGGTGACTTCTATTATGGACTGTATCTGACACGGCGCCATCCGTGTTGTCACTTCAAGCACCAGCCTTCCCTTGAGGTCTGTGCGCTGCATGGAGTGCAGGTGATTTTGTGTTATTCATTGTACCATCTGGTACATGTATAACAACTGATGAGAAAGTACTTAAAACATCACTTACACTGCTTAAATATTGCTTACACATTTATCCTGAACGGATATTTAAAACACATTTTACTCAAAATAGTTGACATTTAATATAGAATCTCCTGACCTTGCTTTTGGTTCAGTAACGGATGTTTTAAATATCCGTTCAGGATAAATGTGTAAGCAGCTACCTACTACTCTGATTTTAATTTGCATTAGACGTGCACCAGCAAAAAATTTGTTTCGTTTCCATTTGGATTTTGCTTTATTTTGTTTTTCGGAATTCGGGTCCGAAAGTCAATTGTTTCGGAATTCGGATTCGGACGAAATTCGTTAGCGGAAATACGTACGAAAATTCGTTTCGTTCGTTCGTTGCAGCAAAGTGACATTTAACAGGGAAAAAAAAGTTTTTTTGTTCTCAAATGTCACTTTGCTGCAACGAAAGTTTGTCCAAAAAAAACGAATCGGAAATTCGGATTCGTTTGCATTCGTTATACCTGTAATTTGGAATTCGGATACATCCGAATCTCCGGAATTTCAATTCGGAACGAAACAAATCACACATGTCTAATTTGTATTCCTTCTGCATTTTGAGCTGTGTATCACTACCTTTAGTATTACTGGGTCATCTGTTGGCCTCATGGCCAAACATCTCTAGCTCTTATTGTCCAACAACCTATTTTGGAAAATTGTGGATTCAGGAGCAGTGGTATGAGCAGAGAGTATTGAATCATTAAAAAATAATTTAAATACTTTCATCAGAGAACATAACATACGGGGTACAAGTACTCTTCATGCCTGGAACACACAGAGATTCATTCCGCTCTGAGGAAGGAGGTATATTCCCTGAAACGCGTCAGCTAGCAAGGCAGCTTTGTGTGGGGTCTGCCTTGTACCATCTGACAGATTATTGCTTTCTCATCTCTAGTGCAATATGGGAGACAATAAAGGTTGCATTTAATCTTCAAACACTCAACTATGAAACCTGGAGAGAGTAATAAATACAACCTTAAAAGGTATATAATTACATTCATAAATGAAGAATACAAACAAAATGGAGTTGCAAATGCTAACCATATTTAACACACTGCCTGGCCCAAAAAAAACCTCTGCACTCTAATATTACATTTGGACCACCTTTAGTTTTGACCATGGCATAGTTTCAATAAGCTTATGTAATGTTACAACATATATTTCCATCCAGAGTTGCATTCTTTTTTCACCAAGATATTGTAGTGATGATGGGAGAGTCAGAGAGCGTAAAGTCTTCTCCAGCCAGTGGCGGATCTAGGGGTGGGACGACCAGCCAGCCAGCCATCACCTCGGTATGCCTGCCCAAGGCAATCCGGGCTGGCCAGATCAGGCAGAGGTGGCACTCTAATCAGGCATGTTAGAAGGCCCTAGTGAGGATCGAGCGGCCACCTGAGTAGAGAGCCGCATCTGCTGCGCCTCCAGCAAGACTCACCGGACCCCTGGTGAGGGCCTGCACTGGCCACCTGAGGGCCCCACTGACCACCAGGGCCCACACTGACCACCTGAGAGACCCACTGATCAGCAGAGCCCGCACTGACTACCTGAGCGCCCCACTGACCACCTGAGAGCCCCACTGACAACCTGAGAGCCTGCAGTGACCACCAGAGTCCCCACTGACCACCTGAGAGCCCCCAATGACCTCCTGAGAGCCTGCACTGACCACCTGAGAGCTCCCACTGACCACCTGAGAGCCCTCCTGAGACCCTGGAGACACCAGGCTGTGAACCTGGAACAACATAGAGTATGTAGCTTCATATTATTTTGCATTGTTGTATAGTGTATTGCTGGGATTTGTAGTCTCCTATAGCCAGTGCCATTCTGCATTGCTGTATAATTTATTGCTGATATTTGTCGTCCTCTATAGTCGCCAGAGGTATTCAGCATTGCTGGTTTGCTGTAAAATTTATTGCTGGGATTTGTAGTCCTGTATAGCTGATGGTATTCTGCATTCCTGTATAATGATTTTACAGCAATGCAGAATAGCACCAGCTGTACAGGTCTAAAAATCCCACTAATACATTACATTATACAGTAGGGATGCACTAATACCAGTATCAGTATCGATGCCAATATTGGGCATTTTCACGAATACTCGTACTCATGAAAATCCCCCAATACTAAGCGTAGATACCGGCACCTTACATTTTTAAATGAAGCGGCAGTGTGAGGTCCTGCGCTTGCTGGGGGCCTCGGCAGCCTTCCTGTGAACTACGCAGAGCCTGTTTTTAGCGCCGACTGCATATATCTTTCCCCTCCTTTCTGGGGAACCCCACTGCCTGCAAAGCCCTGGGGAGACTCCACACAACCCTGGTGAGACCCCATACAGCCCTGGTGAGACCCCATACAGCCCCCTGAGACCACACACAGCCTTGCGAGACCCTGCACAATCCTCCTGAGATCTTGCACAGCCCATCTTAGACTCACACAGCCTTTTGGCAGTTCAGTTAGCAACACCTTATTTTCTGGAAGTGTCCCTCCCGAGACTAGACTCTAGATCTGCCCCTGTCTCCAGCACATCACAAGGATTGTCAATGGAGTTAATGTTTGGACTTTGTGGTGGCCAATCCATGTGTGAAAATGATGTCTCATGCTCCCTGAACCATTCTTTCACAATTTGAGCCAGATGAATCCTGGCATTGTCATCTTGGAATATGGCCATTGCATCAAGGAGAGGAAGAAATCCATTAATGGGAAAACCTGATTATTCAGTATATTCAGGTAGGCAGCTGACCACATTTTAGGGGCACATAACATTGCTGAACCTAGATACATTATCCAATGGAAGGCTTTAAACCTAGATCTATTATCCACTGGAAGGCTCTGAACCTAGACTCATTATCCACTGGAAGGCTCTGAATCTAGACTCATTATCCACTGGAAGGCTCTGAACCTCGACTCATTATCCACTGGAAGGCTCTGAACCTAGATCCATTATCCACTGGAAGGTCTTGGACCTAGACTCATTATCCACTGGAAGGCTCTGAACCTAGATCCATTATCCATTGGAAGGCTCTGAACCTAGATCCATTATCCACTGGAAGGCTCTGAACCTAGATCCATTATCCACTGGAAGGCTCTGAACCTAGATCCATTATCCACTGGAAGGCTCTGAACCTAGATCCATTATTCAATGGAAGGCTCTGAACCTAGATCCATTAGCCAATGGAAGGCTCTGAACCTAGACCCATCCACTGGAAGGCTCTGAACCTAGACCCATTATCCAATGGAAGGCTCTGAATCTAGACCCATTATCCAATGGAAGTCTCTGAATCAAGACCCATTATCCACTGGAAGGCTCTGAACTAAGACCCATTATCCACTGGAAGGCTCTGAACCTAGACCCATTATGTAATGGAAGGCTCTGAACCTTGACCCATTATCCAGTGGATGGCTCTGAACCTAGACCCATTAAACAATGGAAGGCTCTGAACCTAGACCCATTAAACAATGGCAGGCTCTGAACCTAGACCCATTAAACAATGAAAGGCTCTGAACCGAGACCCATTATCAACTGGAAGGCTCTGACCTGTTTGCTTAGCTAAATCCAGGACTTTTTTGGGGGGGGGGCCATGCAGTGTATATAAAATAGTATTTTGTTAATTGATGTATTCATTAAAGCCCAAATCCTGCCATTTATTATCTTTAAGAAAGTGAGCTCCAGGACCTGGCTGTTCTGTTTGGCAGATGAACCTGGATCACAAGACTAGCCGAACAATATTACAACCCCAATTTTAGGTGATCAGATTGATTTCAGCTGTTTGCTTGGAGTTTACTTTTAACGAAAGCATTTCTTTTTAATTGGAGCAAAGCAACCTTTTCCATACCATACCCAGAAGATGAATTACATATGTTCTTATATACTTCTACATACATTCTTATACACTTCTCATAACAATCTTCCTTAAATAAAATAGAAATGCTTACATTTCCTTGCCATGCCGGCTGATTTTTAAACAAAATCTGGAAGAGTAATCAGTGAGCCCTGCATGGCCCTGTGATAAATTTAGAGACCGTGGAGCTGTCTCCGTGTTTATGTCTGCATGTAACAGGATAGCTGAGGATGCTGCAACCTTCTTCACCAAGGTAACTGTTTCCATGGAACCGCCTCTCTCTTCCTCCTGCTGCCATGGTCACGGTAGTCATGGCCCAGCTGCTGGATGTTGCTAGGGAGAAAAAAGAAGACTGTGTGCTAATAAGCAGAGCTGTGTACACGGCACAGCGCCTGTGTGTCCACAGTGTAAACCACCGCCGATAATAAATAGCCATAGCTGCCGATTAATGTACATTCAGCGTCAACACAGAAAGTGCTTTTATTCTATTTGGTTCACCCTTTATTGCCCACGTAGCATCCATGTGCCCCGTGCAATGTGGATGTAAAACACGAAGCGAGCCGTGCCCCGAGCCGTGCCCAAGTTTGCCAACCATCGCCCGCAGCATCCATCTGTCCTCCACCCACGCCAGTCCCTCCCTCCTGGGCATCCCGATAGAAGAATATCTCATGCCACATTGGGAAGACACCTGGCTCCCTGTGTAAGTAGCCGATCCTATGCTGCCATCCTCTCTCCTCCCTATACACACAGCCCTCTTCCACCCCTGCGCCCTCCTTACAACCTGGCAAAAGCCTCTCCACTTTTAGCATCCCTCCTCCTCCTTTCCATCCTCCACCCCCGTCAGCCGTCTCAAAACTGCATCTATGGGCACTGCGAGGTGAGTACAGAGCAGCTCTCCTGTATATGTCTGCTACATAGCATATGGATTTGGGGGGGAGGGGGTGTTTACCATTCATACAGTACGTGCTTTGTGTATTTGGGGTGATCACAGAGCCCATCACCCTCTCCCCCATCCCCAGCCAATCCTGTGTGTGTCTGCACACTTGTACATCAGCTTAGTGCATATCTGTGTTTGTGCATAAACAAGGGAGATCTGCTTCTTATTTCTGCTGGCATTTCTGTAGATACAAACGTGCTTGTGTTTTGTACATGTGGTTGGCCTACATACATTTATTGCAAGTCGTATATGTGCGTTCACGCAGTGCAAGTAATAATTCTGTATTGTATGGAAGTGCTGTGGTTTTTTTAATAATTCCCTTTTCAAGGTGTGTATTGATTTTGTTACATTGCTACCTAAAATGGGACTGTGATTCCATTTCCCTGACTCTTCTGATTTTTACTATTTGCACTGTAAGCTGTTTTTGTGCCTTGTATGTATCAATGCTAGCATTGCATAGGCTAGGGCAGTTTAGAGGAACTCAGTCAAGTCATGTAGGATGTTAATGTTGCTTCTGGTGCCATGTATGTACTGATAAAATGTGCAAGCAAAGCACAAATGGTTGCAACATAGTAGCAAATGAGCAGATGGATGGAATGGTTTCCCTTTAGTGACTACACGCGTCAACTGCATTGGGTATAGAGTGTGTAAAGTCACTGAACCGTACATAGTATTTGTTGTAATTGTCATGTTTTTGTTTTCTTCCCAGGTGATTCTGGCAGGCACGTAGGCTAACTAAGATCCGGCGAGAGAGACTTTTAGAGACTGCTTCAATTATAGTTCTTCAATTTAAAGCGATAGTTGTCATTTATTAGGATATATTATATGAACATACACTAAAAAGATTGGAGGAGCTTGGAAGGTTTCTTTCTGTCACTAAACTGGTCAGGCCATCAAAAACAACAGGACTCATCGACAGGACTACCTGGGGAATATATCATGCGTTTTGTCCCTTGAAACTTTTATTTACGTTGGTCCATCCTGAGGTTGGGAATTCTAGTGGAAACGTAGAAGAACATTATGCTTTCTGTGAGGAGCAAATATTAAAACAGGCAAACTGGGGCTTGGAAAAAATCGATGTGAAACCGGCTCTTGCATGTTCAGCGGAGGGACATTTGGATTTTCAGATGGCGGGTGTTATATGGGAGACTGGCAGGATGGCCGAGCACATGGATATGGTGTATGCAAGGGTCCGACAAGGCAAGGGGAATACAGTGGACTTTGGAGCCATGGGTTTGAGTCACTGGGAGTTTACACCTGGCCAAGTGGAAACACATATCGTGGCTACTGGGATCAAGGCAAGAAGAATGGCCTGGGAGAAGAACACAAGGGACGGTGGCTGTATCGGGGCGAATGGACACATGGACTAAAAGGAAGGCTAGGTGTGAGAGAGAGCCTTTCTGGAGCACGATATGAGGGACTATGGACAGACGGACAGCAGGATGGTTATGGCATGGAGACGTACTCAGATGGAGGTGAGAAGATCAGCAATACAGTTATAGCTATAGAATTGTACCATATAACATGTAGGATGATGTATACAGTTAGTTGACAAGTCGGCAGAAAATGATAACATAGGTGTTTTTTATTATAACTACAGTCTGTAACAATTTAGTGACCATCCTCCTTATCTCTCTTCATATTTGCATTCCGTGTTTACCCACCCTGCCTACCTCCCATTCCATCTCTGCAGGTACATATCAAGGCCAGTGGCAAACCGGTAAGCGTCATGGATATGGGGTACGTCAGAGTGTCCCATATCATCAAGCTGCACTACTCCGTTCTCCCCGAACACCAACACTCAGTTCTTTGCCAAACTCCCCTGATGCCCACACCGATACAGCCCCAGGACTACTTCCAGGAAGCCCTGCCTCTGGATCCCGTGGGGGTTTTGTCCTGAAAGTTCGAGGAGTTGGCTCCGAGTCCACTGGACCTGGCAGCAGTGGCAAGCCTAAAAAAAGAGGCTTCTTCTTCCCACGTTCACTTATACTTAGTGGGTTCCGATTGCATCGTGGATCAGATACCAAAGCCCCCACTAGTGGCCGAGACAGCCAACGCAGTTCTTTGAGAAGTGAAACTCGGGGAGCTGGTGGATCTCTAGGATCTAGTGCTAGTCAAGATGGATCCAGTGCAAGTGTAGCAGAAACAGAGTCTGAGCTACCGATTGCTGCCTGGGAAACAGAGACTTATGCTGGCGAGTGGAAGAGTGATCGCCGCAGTGGGTATGGGGTAAGCCGTAGATCAAATGGGCTTAGCTATGAAGGGGAATGGCTAAGAAATCGACGGCATGGTTATGGTAGAACCACCTATCCGGATGGTTCCCGAGAAGAAGGCAAGTACAAGATGAACATGTTGGCCAGTGGTAAAGTGAAGAGTCTGTTCCCACTGCGCAGGGGTAAAGGGAGGGAGAAGGTGGAGAGAGCAGTGGAAGCTGCAAGAAGAGCAGAAGCAACTGCCAGGCAGAAGCAAGAGATGGCAATAGCCAGGTAAGAGCAAGTGAAAAAGTTACTTACCATACAGACTTATGTCATTGTCTTTTTTTCAGGGTATTCATTTTCTTTCGCATACAGGCACGAATGTTATTAGAATGCGAAATGGTACTGTGTATTTAAAGAACATACATTAGTATTCAGTGGAGACACATGTTTTTTTAAACCTCTCTTATTACATATAAACTTCATATCTTATTGACCTCCCTATCAATAACACTTGTTTTCTATGTCCTGGAACATAACAATTGTGTGTCACAATCATGGACAATGTCTGAGATAAAGGTTTTACTTCCTTCTGGGACTATAGAAGATCACTCAACATATCAAAGCCTTCAGAAAAGAGGACCTGTCTAATTCTGTATTCAAGGGAATAGTTCATAATATGCTCTGTAGGTAACAACCAAAAAAAGTGGCTTATTATCACAGGCAGGTGCTTAGAAAAGTGTGGTCTGCATCCATTTACAAGAGTTCTGGGTACCGGGGTACAGATTAATTATACCTAAACCAAGTGTCTCAATCGCAGAGAAGCTGACAGATTTAAACTTCAGGGTTCTATTTTCTTTTTTATGCATCTTTTATTTTTGAAAGCTGCATCTGAAAATAGTTAAATGTACAACGTATTGCTCACAAAATACAGCGATTAAAACATTCTATAATGACAAGAGTCAGAATGAGGCCAGAGAGTCATGGTGGTAGCTTTGTAAACTAGATTATATTCCGTCTATGTCAAGCATCATGTCAGCAATTGGCCATGTGTATGAAAGGTAGGGAGTGCTGTTTTGTTCAATTATAGAGATCACTGTTTGCTTTCAGATGCTACATTCTAACATTTAAAGAAGGATGGTCTGGGAAGGGAATATGTATGGTAGGGGGGAGGTTTAGATATATGGTTAGGGGTGGAGAGGGACAACCTCTCTGATGGAGTGGATCAAGGTGGAGGTGGGTTAGGAGTATTGGTAGGGTATGCCACGGGGGACGCCATGACTTTCCATCGTTGTTGGAAAGAGATGGCAAAGTTCTGGGAGGGAGAGTGAGGAAGCTGTGAGGAGAGGAGGGAGAAAGGAATAGGGGATGTGGAATGCTAGAGAGGGATGGCCAAATGATGTGCATTGTAGAGAAGGGTCCAAGAGGTGTTTAGAAGGGGTTGTTGTGAAGGAGGCTGGGTAGTAGAAAATACATTTTTATTCTTTGGAGAAGAACATGTTATTCTATAGTGCCAGACGGTTTGAAGTTTTGAGTTAGTACCTTTGTTGGAGCTAGTAAGGTGACGGGATGAAAATAATCCATGTTCTTTTGGTATAAGATGCTCAGCACATTTTGGGTGATGGTGTGGACCTGGGCCCAGAAGGCCTGCAGAGCTGGATAGGGACAAAATGCAGAACGTGTCCCCTTGGTGAAGTGCCACATCTCCAGCAGATGTGTGGGAGGAAAGGATAGATTGAGTCCAACGAGCTTGCCATTCTGTACCAGGAAGTGATGATTTCATATTCCTAGTATCTGATACAAATGGATGATGTGTAGGAAAGGGCTAATGGTTTATATCATGCAGTAGGTGAAAGAGGTATGATGATCTCTTTTTCCAAGAAGTCTAGGAATCGATTGGAGGCTTGAGAAGTCTCCTGAGGAAGCGGTTTGTAAAGAAAGGAGAGGGAATGTCTACCAGGCCCAGTAGATAATCATTCTTGTTCACACTAAGTCAAATGGTGTAGACATGTGCGATTCGTTTCGTTCCGAAATGAAATTCAGACGGATTTTCGGAAATTCGGACATTCGGATGTATCTGAATTCCGAATTACAGATATAACGAATGCAAACGAATCCGAATTTCCCTTTCTGAAATTCATTAGCGATAGTTCGTTCGAAAGTTTTTTTCATTTTAGTTTCTTATTCGTTTAGTTCGTTGCAGCACAGTGACATTAGAAAAGGAGAAGAAAAAAATTCCCCTGAAATGCTACTTTGCTGCAATGAACGAACAAATGAACGAAAGGAATAAGAAACGAAAACGAAACAAACTAACGTTAACGAATTTCGTCCGAATCCGAATTCCGAATCCGAATTTACTTTTGGATTCGGAAGTATCTGCAGGGGACCTAAGTGGGAAAAGTCAGGATCATGAACCATTTGATCCGATGAAGTTCCTAATGAAATGTCAGGCTCAGTATGTGTCAGTGCAGACATCAGAGATGCTTGTTGTGGGACCTCTAGAATAACTCATTATAGCACCAGTAGAAATGGGCTAAACCATATTTAGATCACCTCCACATTCTTACCCTGGATGAAAATGATTAGCATTGCAGTTTTTCTTTATGGCATAGAGTGGCTTATTTTTTTATACTAAAAGGTTAAAAGGAATAGTCAAACTATAGTCAAATATTGAGTCCTTACCCCATTTCACATCTTGAGATCCCTTTAGCGCTAGAGTCCCCCTTCACATCAGGGCACCCCTTCACATCAGAGTCATCAGCCCCCCCTACACATCAAAGTCCTACCTTATAATCTTCACCATAGTGCGGCAGCACAGCAGAGGGTGGGAATCAGAGCATGTCTGGATGGGGGTGGGATTCTGTCCTCTTCTGAATGCTGGGGGAGGTCCTGGATGCAGCCCATCCTGGATTGGTGTTCTGTGTTTCCATAGTGCTGGTGGCAAGCTCGCCTGCACCATGGAAATGCATGACGCTGTGCAAAATTTTGAAGGCACCCTTTGCCAGTAAATTCCGCCGGAGAGCTGTGGGGGGAGGAGGAAGTGCTGGGTGTGCTGCATATGCCCAGCATCCATAACTGGTTACATTAGCTAAGTACATTATTATTATTATTATTATTATTATACAGGATTTATATAGCGCCAATAGTTTCCACAGCGCTTTACAATATAAGGAAGACATTACAGTCACAATACAATTTAAGACAAGATGGTAAGGAAGGCCCTGCCCGTGAGGGCTTACAATCTAAAAGGGAGGGGCAAGTGATACATGAGGAGGTAGCTGTGCGGGGATGATTGTTTGAGAAAGTGATTGTTCAGTGGTTAGGTTGAGGTGGGATAGGCTTCCCTGAAGAGATGAGTCTTAAGGGATCGCCTAAAGGCAGTCAGTGTGGGAGATAGACGGACAGGTTGGGGTAGAGAGTTCCATAGAATGGGAGACATTCCATGTCTGTCAAAACATAAGGCGTTCAAATGCTTACAATTTTTTTTAATAGCCACAGCTTGAGTAGACAGCCTGTGTCCAGCCAGCATGTTGCAGAATTGGACCCTTGCTCTATGTGGGGCACCAGTTATCTCTTTTCAGAAGTTTGGCACACCCTCTACCAGAGCGATCCAATCAGAAGGGAGCATGAACTTTGCTGAATGCAGTGCTATAGGTCCAATTTAGTAGGGGGCATGTTGAACCTCTGCACTGCTTCCCTAGAGAGAGCAAAGGTCCTTCTCTGCAGCATGCTGGCAGGGCACAGGCTTTTCTACTCAGGCTGTGGCAGCTTTAGAAAGAAAACAAACTAAGACTTTTCACATGTTTTATTTTGATAAACCTGAAATGAATTTTGGTGATTTAAACTGAATGTTCAATTGAGTTTTAGGGCGGATTCACACTGTTGCAGTGTGTTAGCACATGTGTGTTAATGCGCCCTATGCTGCACATTAACTTGAGTTGTGTTAAGGCAGCCCATTCAAATAATGTGCAAAACTCATCAAAGGTGTATTAGTATTCTTTGTAACACTACAAGGCATAGCAGTGCGTTACTGTGCGTCACGGTGCACTGCAAAGCACATCCATTCACATGGTTCATTGGGGAGTCGTTCAAAACGAATGGCACCACACTGCACCAACACAATGTGTACGTTACTGCAGTGCAATTCTGTGTATGGGACCTTAAAGGCTAACAAAAATAATACAAGCCCATTTCCTGGAGAAAATGTTATTTCAGACACCTCTCAATGTTGGTCACATGTCCAAAAGCCTATACTCACATGCTCTTTGCAGAAGGAGAGACTGAGGCAGTCTGAATTCTGAGCCTCCCCTTTGATCACGTGAGCAAATTCTTAGGCTTCTGGTTATGTGAGCAGCACTAGAGGGAGTTTTGAACAACAATTTCTGCAGTTAACTTTTTTTTTTTGCATTAGAATTTGCTACTGCTCTCCCAATGCCCAGATATCCACATGGCTTCAGATGTAGTACAGATCTACTTCTCCCCATCACATCCTGCTGTGGGTACAAGCTACCCAGGAGCCTAGGTGCTTCAACAGCAGTGTAAACGTATGGTGGATAATCCATCTCTCTGCTCAGCAAATTTGATTAAACCACAGAGCCTACTCTTTCAGTTAATAGTAACGTGTAGGTCCACTTTAAAGTATACCTGTGGCTCTCTATTTGTAGTAATCCAAATCAGAAAGCCACAACTCTCTGTGGCTACTACCTGGTAAATGCACACTGATTCAGACTGAAAAACAACAGTGCTTTATGACAGGAAGCATGGACCATATGTCTTATGGTGACAGTCCTATCCAGCTTTCTTGTTTCTCTATTGGCCATAAGAAGAGCAGGAAGGAGTACACAGCAGCGAACCATTCAACCTGAGGTCTCTGGTGCACTATATCAATAAAAGTAGGGTGCATGAAGGCGTAGGGTGGTCCCTGCATTAAAAGTCCAGTCCTTGGACTAGCATAGTAAGGATGGTCATAGGTTTGTTTTTAGCCGGACACATTTATTGTATAGAGGTCTGCTCGATGCTGAGACAAGTGCAGAGAGGCCAATACACCACACTGCTCTCCTGATCCTTGGATGAATGGATTTCTACTATGCCAGGCATCAGCTGTGCACTCTGACATGCACTCTAAGCTCTCTTGATTCGTCCTTCACAGCACTTCTGTTTTGCTTCTGATGTTTGTAAGGGTGTGGAACCTTCCTATATTGTGAATTGGGTCTTATGAAGCAGTGTTCACTTGGATTTGTTGCTACTTTTCTGTTTGTGTTTTCTTCCTATGTGAATGCAAGCCATTTTCT